GTGTAAATAAAATGGCTCCGTCCGTGTTAAAATACATTTTTAAAAAATTACAAAGCTAAACAGCCTACAGTATTTTCACAGTCTTAATTTTACAGTTAAAATAAATGTTTATCAAATAAAGTATAATGTTACAAAAAATCATGAATCCCCTTAAAAAGTATTTTTTGTCTTGCCAGATGAGAATAAAACTGTTAAAATAAAGCTAACTAACGTTAGCCACAGCTAATGAACAGCTTTGTGTTGATTCAGTCACGTATATATTTATTATTTCTGTTTTTAGTGTTCATGTGAAACCATAGTGTTTGATTTTAGTTTCACWTGCAGAAAGTTTTGGTTGTTTTTGTGCCAAATGTTGAAACACGTCAGATCTGATGAAGGAAAAAGATGATTTTTGTTTGTGATGTTTGTGTAGTTTGTGTCGTATTTTAAGTTTCATTCAGATGAAGGGTCGGAGAATCTGCCTCACCTCAGGGAGTGAGACACAGGATTTTAAWAGTTGTAATGAGTCGTTCTTGTTGAGGTCAGATGATTAAACAGCAGCCGGTGTTCCAGCGTCTCCGGCTGTGTTGATTTCAGACACTGAGAAAAAAATCAGAAGCAGTTTGTTTGTTTTTCTCTTCACTCTGACAGAATCTCAKCTCTTTGATTCTGGAGCCTCCAAACCAGCTCCGTCTTTATTTTTCTATTTTCAGCCGACTGTGAAAAGGGCTAGAACACACTGATGATGTATTTAAGTTATTTATTTGATGACGTAGTRCTTTTCACTGAGCTATGCAGTAACTGTAGGATTATTTATTCTGAGAGGTTTTTTTTTTGTTTTTAATTTTCTGTCGGTCCTCGGCCGTGTGTCGTCTCCATCGGGTGAAGCTTTGAGGACACGTTGTCCTCCAGGTTCTGTTGTTGACGGGTCAGCAAAGTGGGAAACAGCTGCAGGCACGCTTCCACCACTTCCTGTTCGTTTCTCACTCTTTACCTGTTCTTGGTGCAAACTAAATATTTCAGCAAAGCAAACTTTCCTGGGTTTTCAACATTTCAAATCCTGATTTAGTGACTTGTTTCTCCTCTTCATGGTTTCATGCTGTCATGTCTCAGATGATGCAGTGAACATCACGCTCCTCCTCTTCTGATGTTGCTGTTCCAAACAAGAAACTTAATAAAGAACTGCTGTGTGCTACCTTCAGTCATAGAGCAGCGTCCTTTAGTCCACCAGTCTGTCAGTAGGAAAACAGAATAGAGGACCTAAAAAAACTTTGCTTTAAAGACTGGATCAGAAAATGAAGGAAAAATCAAATGAACATATCTTACAACCTAATTAAGTAGAAACTCTTTGGAAACAATTTGTAACTTCTTTCCAGAAATAAATGTTCATATTGGTCAACTTTCAGTTGTCTGTGTGGATTCTCTGACCAGTAGGATGTTTTAATAATAATTTATTAACATTAATCACAACAATAATTGATTTCTTTCAGCATGAATGGATTCAATCATAACTCATCTTTAATTTTTGAATTGTAAAGAAATTCTCATTGTTTTTACAGGTGTGTTACCACAGCTGCTGTTATGGAAAAWGAAGACAAAGTTAAATTAATTTACAAGAATAAAACAAAAGATTGATTTTATTAGAGTAAATGAGATGTGACTAATTTATAAAACTAAAAGGCAAAATGGTATCAGCTTGATGTTTTTGTGCATAAATTTGAGTTTTTAAACCTATGAATGGTTCTGGTCTGAGTTTTATTTTGCAACACAATGAAAAATTACAAAAAAAAACCTCAAATCCTACATTAAATAAGTGATGTGTGTTGATTTTATTATATACATAAATCTGATCATGTTTTAATATTTTAATGATAAAAGGAAATCTTGTTAAAAAGTGTTTGAGTCAGATCACCTGATGCTGCTTTTATCTCAGCTCATCACTGAAACAWGAAGAAACTTAACATCAGTTGTCTGTTTATTCTCTGACTAACAGCGTGTTAAAAAACTAATTTATTGACATTAATCACAACAATGATTTTTCAGCATAAACATTCAATCATAACTCATGTTTAATTTTTGAATTGTAAGGAAATTTGTTTTCGCTTTAACACAGCTGCCTTCATGTAAAAAATATTAAAGACAATGTTCAGACTCATTTACAAACGTAGAGCAAAACAGTGATTTTTGACAGCAAACGAGACTCGACTAATTTATAAGAATAAAGGCAAAGTGACATCAGCTTAGCTTAAAGTTGCTATGCATATTTGAGTTTTTAAATCTACAAAAGGTTCTGTTCTGAGTTTATATTGCAACACAAATTTAAAAATGACCAAAAAAAGCTCCACAAATCCTACATTAAATAAATTTTATGTGTTTTTACAGCCTTTGTTTTTATGTGTTATGATAAACTTAACTATTATTCCAAATATGTTAGTGTTCTTGAAAAGTTAAAATAAAACCGTTTATTGTACTAGACACGTATTAAACCAAAAAAGTTGCAGTAAATTGGTTTTCATGCAGGTCTTTTGGCTGTTAATCTTCTTGTCATGCTTTTGTTTTGAAAGTGTGACGCGCATGCGCTTTAGTTTCGCGTCTCCGGCTTGCCGTAGAAAAGCGAAAATCGTCTGACGAGAAATGTCACGCATAAAACTGGTAATTTCACTGATTTATATTCATTTTTTTATTCGTGATCATTCCGCATTTAAGTTTTAGTGTTTGTTAGTAAAAATACATCAAGTTAAAGGAAGTAGCTTAGCCATAAATGATGCTAAATTAGCTAACGTCTGAAATTAGCATGGAGCTAGCTAGTCGCTAACTCTTCTGTTTATTACCGACAATAATGTTGAAATGTTCAYATTTTAAAGGTTAATTCTCCCCTCACAGTGGTGTAATGTGTTATTGTTGTTATTTACTGTGTAACTGAAGCTCATTATTGTGTTTTTGTTCCGCGGTTCTCCACCAGGTGTCGCTGCGGGCCGCGGCTCCGGCCCTGATGAGCGGCTCGGTGCTGGCAGCTGCCGSTGAGGGCAAGAAGAAGAACCCGGAGCCGGTTCTGAGCATCGAGGAGGTGGGTTCATCAAGAACTGGACCTAAAGGATGGAACCAGTACCTAACATCWAGTTTTTAACTCATAGATTTGTTTATTTCAGTCAAAAAAAAGCTGATAAACATCTGATGTCACTGAAACTCCAGCTGAAAAATGTCAACAAAATAAAACATATAAATCTGAMTCAAGTCAGACACAATGTTACTACAAATACAAACTCTTAGCACTCAACCTCCMACACATTTAAAGTTTCACTGAATTTATTTGTCTTTTCTTGATAATAAGATTTTGTTTTTGCTGTTCCAGCTGCCGTCTCTGTACACCAGACCTGAACCCAGACCTCTGCAGGAGGAGCCGCAGGCGGGTCMGCTGGAGCAGAGCCTGGCATCGCTGAGGAGCCGGGCCCAGCCCTACGTGGACCTGGGTCAGGTGAGTCCAGTCTGAGAGCCCCACGTCTGTTATTAATCACTTCACCGTCTGAGTCGGACCGAAACAGATTTTAGTTTCAAACATTAACAGAAATTTATTTGTTGGATTAAAGGATGAAGATTTTACATTCGTGAGGTCAGAAATGTCAATTTGTAGGAAAAATATCCAGAAAAACTGTCATTTTTACACATTTTCTGTAAATTATTTAATTCTATTCAAAAATTTATTTATTTCATTAAAAGATATTATATACAAACAAAAAAAAATCAAAATAAAATTAAATTAAGGACCTTTAGGGAGAAGTTTTTCTAAACAAATATAAAACTTTTCAGGAATAATCCAGTTTCTGTTTATTCTCAGTAAATCACACACTAACATGTTTTTRTGTTAAAGGTTTTAATGTGTTAAAAGTTTAATTTAACAGGTTTTTCTGTTCTGTTTTCTGCAGCAAACTGTCCAGTCTGTGGTGGAGAAARTGGAGGTGAGTTCTTACCAAACCTGAACAACGATGTTCATTTTTTACTCAGGTTATTTGTAGTTTTTAGCCTCTAAAAAGTCCGACTTTGCTGATTTAGAAATGCAGCTTCTGATGAAACGCAGCGAGCTGAGTGACTGAAGAAAACCTGCAGAAGAAGCTAAAACTCAGCTAATACATGCAGAAAGCTAGYTTAAAGCTAAAAAGAACAAAATGCATCATTTCTAAGTAAAAAGGAGTAAAATTCTGTTTAAAACTTAGAATAAAAGTTTAGTGTTGCTTAAAGTAGAAAATGTTAGTAATCTGAGTAAATAAAGGATTTAAAGGATCTGACTCAGTGTTTTCAGGACAWTAAACAAAGTTTTATTGTTCAAAGGTAAAACTGAACCTTGTTAACTCKTGTCTTTGTTCTGAAAGCACAGCAGACCTACAGGACGATGGAGCCCACCATCAACACGTCACTGACCACCGTCAGAGGTGAGTCGACACKTTAAACTGCTGAGTCATGAGTCCACGCTGCTTGTTTCCATACAACACACCCAGGTCTGACTTTAGCTTCAACTTCCTCCTCTGTTGTGGTCCTCAGAGACCTTTCAGTTCCTCAGGGACCCCCCTCCAGACCTGTACCCCAGCGTGGCCGTGGTCGGGTTCTCCGGTTTCCTGGGACTTTATCTGGCCAAAGGTAACAAGAAGARATGAAACGTGTCGTAAAGATTCAGTAAACTCTGTGTTCAGAGCTGAGATGAAAATAAAGGACATCTTTTAACCCCCATGTTAAAAATGTTACCAGGACCACCTTCTTCCACCTGTGTAATATCACTAAAATTAGAAACATTTTGTCCAAAAATGATGCAGAAAAACTGATTCATGCATTTATCACGTCTAGACTGGATTACTGTAATTCTTTATTATCTGGGTCCAAAAACCTCTTTAAGAAGTCTTCAGTTAATCCAAAATGCTGCTGCTAGAGTTTTAATGAGAGTTGGAAGGAGAGATCATATTTCTCCAGTTTTAGCTTCTCTCCACTGGCTCCCTGTCAAATTCAGAATAGAATTTAAAATATTCCTCCTAACATACAAAGCTGTTAACAACCAAGCTCCATCATATATTAAACATCTTATTGTTCCATACTTTCCTAACAGAGCACTTCACTGTCAGACTGCAGGTTTACTTGTGGTTCCTGGAGTTTCTAAAAGTAGAATGGGAGGCAGAGCTTTCAGTTATCAAGCTCCTCTCTTGTGGAACCAACTTCCAGTTTCTGTCCGTGAGGCTGACACTCTGTCTACTTTTAAGATTAGACTGAAGACTTTCCTTCGGTCGAGGCAGATGGTCTCCTGTCCTGAGCCTGGTTCTGCTGGAGGTTTCTTCCTGATTAGCAGGGAGTTTTTCCTCTCCACCGTTTGCTCAGGATGGGAGACTGTGATGAAGTGATKCRACACAATCTGCTGSTTTCTTCTTTACATTGTTCTTTTTATCTACAGTGTCCTGAGACAACGTATGCKGTGACTTGGAGMTRTATRAATAAACTGAAGTGAAACTTTACCTGGTTTCTTTGACTTCAGGCTCCAGGATGAAACGTTTGGTGTTTCCTGTTGGACTCATGGCTCTGAGCGCCTCCATGTTCTACCCTCAGCAGGCAGCGACCCTCTTAAAGGTCTGAGAAACAAACTCACCTCCAGCAGATTTCTTCAGCTACATCAGAAACTTCGGCTTCTATAAATCTGCTTCAGCTGCTGCTGTTTTTCATTCTTGATACTTTTAGCTTKTWGCTACAATTAGCCATTTTAATAGCATTTTATCACTTTTAGCTGGTGTTCCCTTAATTTGTAGTCCTATAGTTTTAGCAATTTGTCACTYGAAGTTTTTWGCTAGCCTTTTGCTACTTTTGGCTTCTAGTTAGCTTCTGATACTTCACCTTTTAGCCATATTTTTAACTTCTAGCTAATCCTTTGTACTTTTTGCTTTTAGCTAGCATTTTGTTTCTTCTACCTAGCCGTTTACTACTATTAGGTAGCCTTTGGCTACTTTTGGCTTTTTAGCTACCTTTTAATACTTTCACCTTTTAGCTAATCTTTTTCCCTTTTTGTTTTAAGCTAACCTTTTGTTGCTTCTACCTAGGCTTTTACTACTTTTAGCTAGCACTTTGCTACTTTTGGCTTCTAGCTAGCTTTTGATACTTTCACCTTTTAGCTGACCTTTTGTTGCTTCTAACCAGCCTTTCCCTACTTCTAGCTAGCCTTTAGCTCTGTGTAGCACTTCCTGAGCTGAATGTTTTAGCAGCTGTGGTGTTTTTGGCTCAGGAAGCAGCTGTTGGCTCTTTGTGTTGTTTTAATAACAGGATGACGTCACGCTGAAGACAAACAGCCGACAGCAGCTGAGTTCAGAGGAAACCTTCGGCTGTTAAAGAGTTTCRTCTGTTTGAGGACAGGCTGGTGTTTCTGTGCAGGAAGTCTGATGTGTGAATGTGTTTAAATATTCTTCACACAGACACACACTGACCCGTCAGACTGCAGCTCTTACATCAGCTGAAGTTTAGCTAGAGAACACGATGAGACCAGATGAAGTTTAAAGGTTTAAAACAACCAGAAACAAACATGTTTTAAATCAGAACACAGCAACTAAACATTGTAGTGTTTTTAATACAAACCTGTTGTGTCGACAGGTGAGTGGAGACTCCGTGCACACCTGGGCTCAGCAGGGTCGCGTTGCCATGGAAACGCTGTGGAGAGACCCTCCGTTCACCAAGAAGAAGGTGAGTTTGTTCCACCTGCTGTTTGTTCTGGTTTTAGCTGTTTTTCCTCTTCCTGTAGCTGTTTGTGTTTGCAGTCGAGGCGTCAGAGAGCGGAGCGAGCAGAGAGCGACGAGACGAACAGCTGAAGAAGAAGAGCTTCCTGTGACTCGTCCAGAGCTTTTATAGATCAGAGGTTTGTGTTTGAAACAGGAGGGAGGTCTTCCTGAGCTTCATCTTCCTCTTTCCTCTTCATCCCTACAAGGAAACAGATCTGGGTTCTGTGCTGCTGGAGTGTAGAAACGTTCATCACATTTTTATTTAACAAATGTTTTTATTTTCAGTGTTTTATGGAACAAACACTAAAAATCTGAACAGATGATTGATTCAACATGTGGTTTTTAAAGATCAATATCTTACCTGTTWTAGATAGCTCTTTGAGTTGTGAMCTGATTGATGAGCTAACAGCCAATCTAAGCTAAGCTATGAAAAAACTGACATTTCATAAAGAAATGGCCAAACTTCAGCTACTTTTACAGATATTGAGCTAAAAGCTGGTGTGATGGTAGCTGACAGTCATCCCCAACACAGAATCTGAGCTCTGACAGAAAACAGCTGAAAATACTGACCACCTGCCGGGACTAGCCTTTAGCTCCTCATTGTGGTGACAGGTAAACTGAACAGGTGTTTTAATCTGAAACATCAGCTGAACTTCCTGTCTCAGATGTTTCAATAAATTCTGAAATAAAAATAAATCATGAAAATATGATTTTAAATAAACTGATTGATGTTTATATC